ATACGGATAATAAACGCATTACAAATAGTCTATTTATATATATTTTCATAAATAATATAAAATAGTATGAATATTATGTATGTATTAAATAAAAAGGACATGTTGAAAATAAGTTTCAGTAGTTGGGTATTTGTTCCATAAGATATATATATGTACATATTTTAAATGTAAATCATGGAGGTTGTAAGAAATTTATAAGTCTTAATAAATAGATAAATATGTAATTCTTTATATAGATAATTAAGTAGACAATATAGTTCAGATATTATAGAACATAAAATATGTAAATGTAATACCTAAATTTAAAATACTGTCATAGATATTATTAAGATATTAAAATAGAGTTAACTAATAATATCCAACAGCTTTATTTCTAAAAATATATATAAGAGCTTTTACCAGTGAGATATTAGCCAATTGTATGTAAGGTTAAAATAATTCATTTTAGTATATGTAAAATGTTTAGGGTCTTATACATCAAATATTCATACAAAATTTGTTCTATAAACCTTCGATAAATGTTTATGAATAAGGCAGTTTATGTATAACACATTGTAACTTTCAGTAAGTATTAACAATTTAATTGACACCAAGTATAATTTCCCCAATACATTGTTTTTCAATAATTAATGTCTTCTATAATTTACATTCACTTACTAAATCAATCGCCTAAAGGTATTTTGAACTATGGCAATATTTTACAAGTATTTGTAAATGTATTTGGATTTGTCACCCATCTCATTTGCATTAATAATAACATATTAAAACTAGTAAGAAATTATAGTAGGGCATGGCCGATCCCACTTCTTGTCTATTTAAAATGTGATTTATTTTACATATGAAGCATTTATGTACACAGAAAAAATTTTAGCCAATTTTCTTTCTATTAAATGGATAATTGTTAAAAAATTTAATTTTGAGTAATTTTTTATTTAATTTGATAAATATTTTTATTAATATCGTCGTTTTTTTCTGACAGTGCTATCAATATATAAAAAATAAATATCGGATAAAATCCAAATAATTGCTCTATGTTAAACACATGTTAATATTTGCGCTTTTTTTACAAGTGCATAAAGCGCTACCAAACAGCACTTATAAATAGAAAAATATTTCCAATAAAAATAGTTAAACATTTTTTTACTTAATTCAACAAATGTTTTTGTTGACTTGAAAAGTTTTTTTGCAGTTCTAGAAAACAAGATGCAGCATGATGAAAAAAAAACGATAAATAGCTGTCAGTGTTGTTGTGTAGTAATTTTAATACTATGAAACAAGCAAAAAAAGATCATCAAAATCAAATCTTCAAGTAAAAAAAATATAATAAGAAGTTTAACTATAAATATTTAAAAGGGCAACACCTATTAATTTCGGTTGAATAAAAAACAAAAGAACAAAACAAGTTTAGTTCTTCTTTTGTTTTCGTGGTGACAACATCAATGTTAAAGTGCTAAAAAATTAAACAACAACAACAAAGTGCAACAACAACAACATTTATAACGGTAAAAACAAGTTGTGTATTAGAAAGAATTGTAAGTAAAACAAAATACAAAACTAACTAAGATTAAAATAAGAAGTGTTTTTTGCATTTAAAAAGTGGTGTACTTTAGAAAAAATAATAATTTATAATTAAAAACTGGAAAATGAATGAAATTAAATGTTTTTTGTGTGATACGTTTTTTGAATCTCCACTAAAACTGTTTGAACACATTAAAAATTATGCACTTCCTTCTAATGTGGTACATAAGTGTACATATACATATTGTTTTCAACAGTTTTATAATAAAAGCTCCTACAAGAGACATGTCTTGAGACATTTTAAATTTCTTCCTAATTCTAGTAATGAGATCTTAAAGAATTCTGAACGTAATATTGAAGAAAATATTACGATTTTAGAAAAACAACCCTTATTAGTTCCAAAATTGTTTAACTACCAGATAAAACTTGAAGAACTCCGTAATTCAGCGGAAAATTTTGTAATGAAAATGCATTCGTTCAACAATATTTCCCGTTCTGATGTTTTTAATATAAAAGGATATGTTGAAGTTTATATATTAAACCCAGTTCTCGATCTTATGGAAGAATGTCTAAATCAAGACAATTTAATTGAAACCCCAATTTCCAATATTGTTAAAGATATGAAATTGCTGTTTAAAAATGTAAAAACTGATTTCAGATTACAAAAAACCCTAAGTGAAAAGGGGTTTATTAGTAGTGTTGAGACATTCAAGATTAACAATGATTCTAAATCAAACGCCACAATAATGCCGCTTGAATTTCAATTTAAAAATATCTTTGAAAAAAATAATTACCTTGATGACGTTTTACGACATATGGAAACAATTGAGAGTAGTGGAAAGTTTACCAATTTTATTCAGGGTGAACTTTGGAAAGAAAAGAAATTGTTATATCCAAATAAAACATTAATTCCATTCTTTCTGTATAACGACGATTTTGGAATTAATAACCCGCTGGGTTCCAAGTCAAATAAAAATTCAATATGTAACTTCTATTACTCTTTTACTTGCGTCCCAACAAAATCATCAAAGTTAAACGAGGTGTTTTTAGCCTGTACGTATAACTCTTCCGATATTAAACGGTATGGTAATGAATGCTTCGCTCCATTAGTAGAAACATTGAAAAAACTAGAAATCGAAGGTATTGAAATTCAAACAAATAGTGGCATAAAAAAAATTTATTTTGTAATGGGTTTGCTTTTAGGGGATAACTTAGGATTAAACGTAACTCTAGGATTTTCAAAATCATTTTCCTCCCATTATTTTTGTAGATTTTGTTTGATTAAAAAATGCGAATCGCATCAAGAGTGTTCCGAAAGAAAAGATATTTTTCGAAACCGCATTAATTATAGAGAATCAATAGACAGAGGTCTAATGTCTCAAACTGGAATTAGCTCAATCTGTATTTTCAATGATTTACCAACTTTTCACTGCACAGAAAACTTTGCAGTTGACATTATGCATGATCTCTATGAAGGCGTTTGCCACCATATACTAAGTGAATCTTTATTATATTTTATTAAAAAAATGAAATATTTTTCACTTCAAGAGTTTAATGATCGTCTTAGTAGTTTTCGATATGAGTCTCATGATAAGGGAAGTGAAAAACTTAATGTTAGCTATCCTGAATTAGAAAATCACAAGCTTAAAATGTCGGCAAAACAAATGATGGCATTTTGCTTTTATTTTACTATTTTAATTGGAGATTTTATTCCAAAAGATGACCAGGTTTGGGAATTCTTATTAAATTTCTTCGAGTTATTAGATGATCTTTTATGTTTTCAAATTTCAGATCCTTTAATAAACCAAGTCAGAACTAAAATTGAAAATTTAAATAAAAATTATTTAATATTGTTTAAAAGAAAACTAACTCCAAAATTTCATTTACTTTTACACTATTCCACAGCTATGAAATATTGTGGGCCTCTTAGAAACTTGTGGAGTTTCAAATTTGAAAATAAACATAAGGAGTTCAAAATTTATTCCCACATAATAACCTCAAGAAAAAATAAAAAAAAAGTTTTTCTCATAAACAACAAATAAAATTTGCAGATTTTTTACTTTCAACTAATGTGTTGCAAAATGTATTTAAAAAACCACTTCTGGACCTAAATGTTAAGCAAAAAGTAAGCCAAAAATTAAACATGTCTATGGAAGACTTTTTGCTTTATTTAGAGGCGGATATATGGGGATATAATTACACTACACAGAAAAATGTATGTAAGTTTAGCTCTGATTTTGAAATATTTAAAATTTTTTTTATTATTGAAATAAAACATAATGAAATTTTATTTTGCTGTAAAAAAATTTTGACAGTTTTTAATAATCATTATAGCCATAGAAAAGGTATACATAGAACTGAAACTGAGTATGACAAAACCTAAGTCTGCTGTCAAAAACCTAAGTCGTGAGAATGTATTAGTTGAAAAATATGTAACCCAACAAACACAAACTCTTTCGTTTAAAAAGTTTTTATATTTTTGTTTGATATTATATTTCGATATTTTATGAAATAATGGTTTGAATTAGCCATTTTTATTCAATATCAGTTGACCAATGTAAGAAAGATCTTCATTAAAAATTATTTTTAATTTTAAATAAACTCTTTGTGGTTGCTGGGTTGAGTCAATATTGACACTTGAAAATAATATTAAAAAAATAAAAACGATTGAAAAATTTGTTTTTTTTCTGAAAATGTTTTCAATAATTTTATGGGAAAACATAACTTTTAGCAGTGTTTATTGCAGCAGCAGGGGCTATTTTGCCACAGGAATTGTGCTAATGCTAAAATTAACGCTTGATATGAACGATTATTGTTAATTTCAAAGCAGCCCAAATGCAGTCAAAATACACCCTACACCACACTAATGGGAACGGTATTTTGTTTACGTCTTAAAGTTTGTAACACCCGCGTCGATGTCATGATGTAATCCGCCCATAAATAAGCCTATTGAACTTTTTTGTAAGCGGTACATGCTATACAAGAATAGGGTATTTATAAAATTCGACTCAACAAATTTTATATATATACGAAATTTTGACTATATATTGTTATAATGAGTAGTACATTCATTAATTAAGCAAACATCAATCTCTTGAATATAACTTCTACATTAAAAAATACTAAATAACTTATTGCTACTTACTCGCAATGTGGTAGGGTATGATGTATTCGGATACATTTTGTACTTTCATATTTTTGTTATTTTATGTAAACAAAAATAAAAATACTCATACAATTGTATTAAATTCACACAGAACCTGTACATGTGAGAGAGTAATATTTCTTATTCTCAGTTTCAGTTCTATTTATTTTTCTATGATTATAGCGCTTACGAGTTTGAATCAATATCAAACAGATATACTATTGTCAGCCTTCTTGATATTGTGGGTCCTCCATTTGAAGCTCTGGAATCACAAAATAGAAAAACATTTCTAAAACCGAAAGAATTTTATACAAATATATATATTTAAGCCTCAAAAATGGATACTTTTACCATCGATATGGACTTGAGTAACTTGTTAAAACAATGGAACCTGTAACATTTGTATAATAGATTTAAAGGTAAGTCTATATTTATATTATTTTAATTTGACAAACATCTTATTTTTACTTTATCTTTGCAGAACAAGATACAACGATTGATGTATTGAAAATATTAAAAGCACATCATATTTCAAAATTATTCAACGATTTATCCGTTGGTGACCAAGCGAAGTTTGAAAACTGTTTAGAGAAGTGGAAAGAGACATCTACTCCATTCTTCAAAAGAGATGAAATCCAGTTATCTTCGGATTCTTCACAGAAATCGTCGTTTGTTTCCGTAAAAGAAATTTTATCAAATACATTTAATGGCAAGGAAATCCTAAAATTTTATTCCAAAAATGACATTTTACATGAGGAACAACGAAATCTTCTTATATCAACTGTAGCTAAATATATAGAAGCTAATGGGATACCTTATACTATTTCAGATTGTGCTGATATAGAAAACCAGATATGCAATATTTTCCCGTCAGAACAACTTGTAAGTTTATTCTATAATTGCATAACAGTTTAAAGCTAAAAATAATTAAAAATTTATGTTTTCAGGATTTTTACTCTAACGGTAAACGTGGCAAAATCTATAATAAATTATCAAATTTAAAAAGGCTTTCGAAAGACATTTTTAAAGAAAAATCATCGCCGGAAGAAGATAAAACGTTCGGTTAGTATATACCTAATTTTAATTTAGTAAAAAAATAATTAAATGATTTTTTTTCTACTTCTAATTAGAACCAGAAGAAAATGTGGCCGTCACATTGCAGTATTTAAGACTACCTACAATTACTGCGGACGAGTTTGACTTGTACTGGCGCAAATGTGCCCGTTACCGTTTAAAACAGATTTCAGAATCTAAAAGTACTGCCGAAATTTTTCAGATGTGGCCTGAATACAAAAAGCCTTCTGGTTCAAATCTAGTAAGTAACAACAAAAAAAACATTCAAATTCAATTTCTTCATTTACAGATTAATATAGACTTTGAACTGAAATTTCCTTTCGCCAAACAATTTTCTGAAAGATGGTTATGCTATAAAGATAAAGTAATCTACTTGCTACAAAGTAAGATCAGCAACCTTATATTTAAAAAAAAAATGCAACAAATACATACATTTAATGAAGGTATATTATACACTTTTATTTTTGTTAAAAAGTTATACTTTTTAATTATTTGTTTACATATATCTTTTCAGAATCTGTAGTTTTAACAGTACTTTGGAATATACACCATTTATTTCCTCCAACACAAAAAGTCACCTCGGACATGAGTGGGGCAAAAATTCGCAAAAAGTTTTCCGTGCTGGATTCACAGGAAAGTTTTGCAATATTGGCAGAATCCGAAGAAGAAATTGAAATAAAATTAAAACTTCTTATGCTTCAAGGGCGTAATATCCAGCCCAAATTATTAATTTCTGGCAATTTAGAGGATATTAAATCAATATTTGTTTACTTCGATGGCAATAAGTATCCATTTTTAACTATTGTAAAAGCATTCGATTTACTTTTTAAAATATTTTTTGTTTTTAATCTTCAGTTTCCCGAGGAATCTGAAATATTTTATAATTTTATTCAAGATTTTTTTTATGACATGCCCACGTCAAAAAAAATTGTAAAGGTGTCAACACTCAAACATGAAATCTTAAAAATTAAAGATAATTTTTATAATTGATTTATATTATATAATTTGTATTATTTGTGCCATACATAAATTAAATATATAATTGTATATATTTTATACTCTTATTTTACTAAGTATATTCATTTTTTGTAATAAATAATGAAAAAAAAAAACAAGTATTTTTATGGGGGTAAAACTGAGTAAAATATTATTTAAATCAATTAAAATGTATATTACTTTTTTGCAAAAAGTAATTAATTTATTTACTAAAACAATAAAAATATTAATTGGATATATAAGAAGTTTTAATCACGATGATTATCAAATTAAATAAAAAATTTATTGAATTATAATTTTATTTTCAACCAATATTTTTTTTGAAATAATTATTTGTTTTTTTTGATATTTTTCAAATTTTCCAATAAAATTGTTTGTTAATATAATATTATTTTAATTGGAAATATTTCTTGAAATTTCCAATGAAAAAAATATCACTCAGTACTTGAATTTGCGAATATTTTCATAGGCTGAAATCTAAAAATTTTTTTACTCAACTGGATGAATTTCGTAATTGAATCGCGTTTTCAATTTTTTCTGTGTAGAATTTTACTTTGATTTCGATATATTTAATCAATTTGTTGAATTTCTAAAAGATGTTTTACCTGGGGGATCACTTTAATTTGGCAACAAAAATTAAATTTTTTGACTTAAAACATAAGAGTCCTTTCCCACCATAAATCAGATTTTTAAGTGAAAACATAAAAATCTGTGGTCTCTTAAATTTATCACCGAAAACGATTTTATAAAATTATCCAGTGTTCGAAAAAATATTACTTTAGCCAATTATAATACAATTATCTAAGAAACTCATCCAATTATTTAATTATTATAATAGAAAGTTAATATTTTTCTAGACTAACATATGTGTGTACGTACTATTTGCAAACTCTTGACTTGAAATAATTGAAATTCTTTGCACGTACTGAAATTGTGACATAGTGACCGTAGGACTTCTTTTAGTGTTTCGTATACATAGTATTTTGACATAATTATATTATCATTAAATGTAGTTTTTCTAACAACAAATAACTAACTTCCTTGAATCGTTTTTATAAATACACTTTTGTACTTATAAACATTAGGGATATAACTAAATTGTGGAATTAAATAAATAAATATATTTATTGCAATTGCTCATTATCATTGTCATTATGTTTATGTTTGAATTCCGCTAACAGTTATTACCCTAATATTGAGCTTGTTATTACCCTAATATTGAGCTTGAGTTATTTAGAGTATAAGTAAGTATGTTCTCATGTTCACTTAATAAACCATGTAAGCAATTTATTAGAAATAACGTTTGGAGTCAAGCAGCTAAAGAAAATGGTTTGTCCTGTATTTTATATCATGTAATAAATTATAACACTTTCACAATTATCTTAACTACTGCATTCTGCCTCATTACGTTTAATTCAACATTTTTGGTAGCTTCCCATTTTATTAGTGTAAAACATGACAACAAAACCATATTATTAGAACGTACGAGCCAAGGAAAATGTGATGAGGTAAAGGTATACTTTTCAGTTTATATTTGTAATGTTGGCGACTATTAAAAGTAATTCGAAGACTTAAATTCACATTGAAAAATATATACAGAATGTACATGTATTAACATCCGAACAACAACAGATTCAATATCAATATTTAAATTCATAAAATTTTTATATCAAATGTACAATTTAATACAAACTAATTTTTCAACTCAGAATTTAGCAATATTTTCTGTTAAATATATTTTTCTGGAGTGGATGAACTAAAATTATATTACATTTTTACTTTTTATCAAATGAAACATTTTAAACCATAAAAATAATTGCAATTTATAAATTGTTAACGACAATATGTATAATAATGGGATTATATTATGCAACAAATGACACAATGAAACCTGATAATCATGAAAAATGTACATATATACACATCCAATAACAAATTGGACTAATTTGTTTATCGAATATTATATTTATGAATATGTGTATATAAATTTAAATTTGTTGTATTTGTTATTTAAGCAAACAAACAGAAAATTTTTATTCAATTAAAATAAAACAAAAAATTTTGAGGGAAAAAAGTAGTAGCCAGTATTCCAGTTATGAAAAAAATAATTTTCTATAAATAACTGATTTTTATATACTTATGTATATGGGAAATTTCGTGTCAAGTAACCCATCATAAAAAATTGATTTGGAGGAAATTTGCACTAAGGTTATTATTTTATTATTTTTCAATAGAATTCCCACTCGTATCCCATTAAGCTTTTTGCTAGAACCAATAAATGGAAGGTTACACTCATTTCAAAAAAATCCCGTTTGACCAAAGTGCCCAACTTTGACCCCCTCTAACTCCGAAAATTTGTGTCTGCCTACAATCTAATCCAATAGTACTAACCTGAGTGAAGATTTCATCCAAATTGATTTTTTAATTTGGGTCACTTAACACGAAAATGCCCATATGTATAAGTAATAAAAACATTTACCAATAGAGAAGATAATAAATTAATGATATTTTCCGTAAACAAATTTAATTTATATACTTACATACATATGTATATACTACAAAAGGCTGTATTTCCTTGAATACGTCTCCAGTTATGCAAATAATCAGTCATCAATAGAATAATTTAGAAACATGTAAGAGTGTTATATTCAGCTACCCCATAAACATTAGGTTGATATTTAAAATAGGGTTTAAGTCAATTATGGACCGAGGTCTTTTGTCCTCATATTTACAAGCCAGAAATGTGCGTTAAAGTAATTTTCTGAAGGGAACCTTATATGGAGGGTACGGCGAATTATTGTCCGATCCTCAAAATTCTTGTAGATCGATTTTGGCACATACAAAACATGTTTTTTTTTCGAATTTCATCACTGTACTCGTATTTTCGAACCAGTAATGAGCGTTTCTGAAATGGACCTAATATGGCGGATAGGGTCAATTATGAGTATGGGTCTATAATTTGTTATTTGCTTTTAAAATAGTTATGATTGTTAAAATTGTTTTTCGGGGCTATGCGAAAAAGTAAATCGATATTGCCTATTTTCAAAACCAAACAAACCTTACCTATAGGAAATATTTGTGGAAAATGTCAACCCTTACAACAGACAGACGAACGGACTGTCAGGCTAGATCGTCTCAGAATTTAATAAGGACCCAGAATATAGTAAATACTTTTGTGGGTCTATGGCCAATATTTCAATGAGCTACAAACGGCATGACAAAATCAATATAAAAATAAAAATCTGAAGTTTGATTTGTAGTGCTACATATTTACATTTTTGTCATACAAGTTTGCCAATCTCTTTGTACAATATAATTTTCCGATCCCAAAAAGTAAATATATTCTGTTCGTATGTCTGATGAACTTTATTTTCTAAAGAACCCAGATATCTTCGGGCTACAAATCTTCAAAAGCATTATAAATACTAAACAGAATAACAATAACGAGTAACTTAACGAAGCAGTATGTTGTTATTGTTTAGTTATTGCCAAAACCAGGGATGGAAAATTGTCCAAGGATAAATTCTTCAATAAATATTTATAACAAATTTTAAAGAATAAAAAATTATTTTTTAAATTAAAAACACATTGGTGAAGTGTATATAAAATTCGGCACAGCTGAATATAGAACCCTTACTTGTTTTTATTTATTTTACTTGAAAATGAATTGACATTACATTCCCATACCCTACACCAATATAGTGCGGAGAGTGTAATGCGTGTGTGATTGTATTCGTAACGCACAAAAATATTGGTCCTACACCCACCTTAAATTTGCAGCTCAGAATCATTTTCTGAGTGGATAAAGGTAGATAATGAATGAAATTCAACATAACTTACTTTTATATAAAAATAAAAACCTCCTTGAAATTTTATGAGGATAAACCCATATTTGATACTAAATCTTATATATAGCGTCTTTTAGAAAATTAGTTTTTTATAAATAAATTGCAAAAATACATCGGATTTATGGTAAAATTCACCATTTTTTTTAATAAATGATTTTTTAAATATACCCATAACTGGTGTTTGACATCTTATGGTCGGCCATGACCGACTATACTTTCTTACTTGTTTTTTTTTTAATGTATTTCTACTTTTAATATTCATTGAATCATATAAAATTATATTTTTCTCCTAATTGGCCCCAATGTTCAATGACTTCGAATACTTATAATTCGTTATTTGTTCAAGTAGCAATTGTATGATTAACATTTGTCAAATATTTAAGTAAAAGAAAGAAAAATAATAACAATAGGAGACATTAATATGCATTGTAAGACAATTTAAGCTGCTAGACATATGGTATGATTCGGCTTATAAATAATTCAACTAATTATTTAAAATTTACATATGAAAAGAAACATAATGTGAACAAAAATGTTTTAATGTTTAAAAAAAAAAAAAAATCATCATGTCGTCTGACATTGAATATATTGCGACTTATTTATAGAAATTACAATGAGTTGTCATATATGTATGTATTAATAGATTAATCAAATAGATATGTGACATAAAATTATACTGTTTTGCATTTACGTCATTAAGTTATTGTCAAATACTTAAATAATGTGATGTTGCCATTAAGAGATGCAATGATTAAAATTATTTAACTAGTGAATTTTTAAGATTAATTTCAATAAGTTTCTTTGACCTTCACATGGAGTTCAGCGACCATGTCTATGATTTTGTAGCAATCATACGCTGACGTATGATTGATTTTTATATTAAAATTACTCATGCGTATATGTATCTAGTAATCATCATTGGCATTCATCTATAAATGTATTTACTATATTAGCTAATTGTTGTATGTATGAATTTGTTATTTGGTATTATTTTGCTCTACGCATCAAAATAATAAGGAGTGTCATAACTCAAAAATAAAAAATAAAAAAAATTTAAATTTTCTTATTTTGAC